AATACATATCTTCTTTCCCCTGTAACAAAGTGAGCTTTTCGTGATCGCTAATAGTTTTTCAAAATATTTCTCCAAGAAAGGTGGCACAGCTTTTTGTAATAATACCGAATCCATTATGGAGACTCTTGGTCATGATTTCAATGTAACTGAATGGGGTTTGTTCATAGATTCTAGCAAAATAAGTCTGAAAGCAACACTTCTCCACAATGGGAACAAATTTCCTTTAGTTCCGGATGTTCGTGAGTTACTTTCGAAAGAGACATATGAGAACATTAAACTGTTCCTCACTTATAAATTATTAGAAATCAAAGTAGAATATTTGAAGATGTCTCAAAGTGGGAAAGATCAAAATTGTTGAGGAAAATGGCGTGCTCGGATTGAACTACTGCCTGGACAGAGAAATGTGTTTTAACATTCCTCTTGTTGACCCCAAAAATGTGCACGTGATTCCACTGCACATTACATTGGGTCTCAATAAAACTTTGGGAAAACCATTAACAAAACACCATGAGTTCATGTAGTTGCAAGAGACGTTCCCAACAATCAGTGAAGGGGTATTTGTAGGTCCGCAAATTAGAAAATTAATGGCTAATGAACATTATTTGATTTGTTGAGTGATATTGAAAAAAAGCATGGCTGACTTTCATAAGTATCTAGAATTGTTTAGGCAACCATAAGGCAGAGAACTATCGCGATATTGTACATGAACTATTGAGATCAAACCACCGTACGGGATGTAACATGCCACGTAAACTTCAGTTTTTGAATGATCGTTTCGACTTCTTCCCGGATAACTTCGGCACCGTAAGTGACGAACATGGCACACGATACCTCCAGCACATTTCCCAAATGGAAAAGCGTGATCAAGGCAATTGAAGTGAAGCAATGTTGTCCGACTACTGCAGGATCTTACGAAGGGACGTATCTGAGGGGCAAAGTATCATAAGAAATCGGGAAGGAAATATTTTTAAGTATGTTTCTTTACTTTTTTGTTGTACTTTTTACTTTATATAATTCGATCTGTTGTTATTAGAGCGTGACATTTTGCCAAATACATAGGGAGACAAGCATTTTAAAAAACGAACATCACATGAACACTGAGGCCGATACAGAAATTTAAAAACTAAATCTGGATTCACGGGCAAATAATCTTCTAGAAACGGCTTGTTTTGTTCTTGTGACAGAAAAAAACAATTTATAGACTAGTGTTATCATTCTAATTTAAATATCATTAATTTTAGAATACTTGCAGAACCCGGCAGACCTTGTACTGCTCTGTCTCTCTTTCTTTCTTTCTTTCTTTCTTTCTCTCTCTCTCTCTCTCTCTCTCTCTCTCTCTCTATCTATCTCCTCTTTCTCTCGCTCTCTATCTCCTCTCTCTCCCTCCTTCTCTCTCTCCTTTTCTCCTTCTCTCTCTCCCCCTCCTTCTCTCTTTCTCTCCTTTTCTCCTTCTCTCTCTCTCCCTCCTTCTCTCCCCCCTCTCTCTCTCCCCCCTTCTTTCCTTCTCTCTCTCTCTCTCACTCTCTCTCTCTCTCTCTTTTCTCCCTTTCTCTTCTCCCTCTATCAAATTTAAAAACTCTACATATGTCTGTAATTATATTTGCATGTTC